AAAGTCCTGGTTCCGTCTGAGTGTACTGGTCACGAAGACGAAAGAAGTCAGGTGTTTGGGTCCCTACTGATTTCAGCATAAGACTCTCTCCTCGAGTGTTAACTTGACATCCAAAATCATGCGTCTCTATAGGCGAGCTAGTAGGAACCGATGCGATCTTCACATTCTCAGGTTCCTCAAGAACTTGTTCACTGGGGCTGGCTGTTTGGTCACATGCACTTGAAGTACTAGGTTCTCCAACAGCAACAGGTAGGGCAGGGTGAGAGGATGTCACAGAGCTAATGAACTGCAATAGAAGGAATTAGCCTCTATCACCAACCCAGATTTAGAAAATGATTAATATTCCAATGAGAAAATACAGCAAAGGGCCTTTTCATTATTGCAGGTTTTAACATTGCGTGACCGCGTTTATGAACATCCGTGGATAATAGTCTACCATAAGATCAGCACGCAAACTCTTTTTTTTTTTAATACGAATTGACAATCCTTACCTGTTGTTTAGATCTCTCCTGGAGGCGCCTCTCAGATGATAGTCTCGGCTTCTTTTTCGGACGGTGATCGAAAATTGTTGGCACTGCATCTGGCTTCAAATGATGTTGGGTAGATTTAAGTCCAAGAAGTTCAGCTTTTAGGTCACGCTCGTAGCATTCAGGTTCGAAGTGAAGCGAACATACCCTGGAATCTTTTGTAACAACAAGATCTAGCCGGGATAATTTCGCCAGCCACTCTTTCAAGAGCTTATCATCAGTGGGAAATCTGTGGTAGCTTACCCCTTGCTTTCTACCAACATATCGAGAATCATTATTGCAACCCACAGCGCTACAGTAGACCATGATGAAAGATTTATAATATCCCGATAACAGTACTAACTACGAAAGACAACGAACACAACGATAGAAAGTAAACCTTGTGCTACGAATAGCTTTATTTATACGGTTCGCCTTGTGCAATACCGGAAAATTTCTCCTCGTAACTCTCAAAAATTACGAAAGGTTGGACTCACTTATCGCCAACTTGCGCCATGTTCAAACAAACGTGCTTTGTAGAATAGTGCCCCGTCATCGTGCCCTTTGAGCTTATCGAGAATAACACAGAACACCGTCGAAACGATCCAGTTTCATACTAAATAACCTCATTAAAACATTAAATTATGGCAACTTCTGCCGGTGCGTGTACAAATAATAAATAAATGCCACCAGCGGGAAAGTTTGAAACCTGTACAGCTTGTAATAAAGGGAACACTTTAATTGACCAAAATCAATAAAGAAGAGAATGTTTAATTACAAAATAAATCGACGCTTACAAGTTGCTGCAAGCAATTAAAATCCTTGATGTACAAATTTCATATTTTTACTTTGTTAATATTTCTGCTACACGTACGTCTTTCAAACAGATGTACAGTAAACCTAAGTTACCTAGCGGTTCTTGTTTACAGTGTCGCGCCAACGTCGAATCATCCACACTTTTATCCCGAGGAGATCTCCGAATTTAAAGATTAAGCCTATACAGTAAAGAGTGTGGCAAACTGTTAGAATATGCTATCATTGGCATTTTTGGTACAATTTTCCCTTGAAGACAGCTGGACATCGAGCTTGGGTTCTTCAGCTTAAAAGACCTTCAGTGGGCTTTTTGTGGAGCATCGCGTTTCTTCCCCATACGTGACGTCACACGCTTCGAAAACAACCGCTGACGGGCCGATTCTGAGCCGCAATGCTAAAGGCCCATAACAGCGAGCAAAACCATTTTTTCGAGTGGGAAAAAAGGCAAAAAATCACAAAAAAGACGTCAAACATTAATGTTCGGGTCTTAAGCATTAATTTAAAAAATGGTTATTTTTTTACTTCAGTTCTCCTTTAACTCGCCAACAATTAGCTGAAGCAATTCCTATTACTACCCAAGTGGCTCATCGTCTCAACAAAAGGTTAACTGACCCTATCAGTTTACAGTATATCCATCGAAATTATCATGTAGTGAAACAAGCAGATTTGGTGATGGCGTTAACTTGTTTTGCACCAGAAAGAAAAGTTTGCATGGGTGGTACAGGATGGGGAGTTGAAATGGCTAAAGTCCTCAACAAAGTCTTGTATGTGTATGATGTGGAACAAAACATTTGGTTTTGGTATAACCCAAAGGAAGATTTCTTTTACGCGTGTGAGCAGATGTCAGAGGAACAGTACGCTTTACCCACCTTAGTGCAGAAAACAGCTATATTAAGCTACCATATTAAGACAGCAAGAATGTCAAGGAACTTTGTAACCCATTTAAGTTATTATCTATTTTATAAAAAGGACTCGGTAAGGTACGGACACAGCAAAGAAAATCTTTGTTTTTTATTTCATGCACACAGCGCAATTCTTTGACGACTTCTTGTCATATTTTTTGATCTGGATCTGCGCCTGCTCTTTTTCCACCTTTTCGTTCCGGTCTGCGGAACTTTATTACACGAACATAATAAACATTGTTAAATGGATTACTTTGATGTGTGATTGATGGGAAAGGGGCTGATAGTATAGTGGTTTAGTATCCCTGCCTGTCACGCAGGTGGCCCAGGTCCGATTCCCGGTCAGCCCGTTCTTTCTAAATCTTGTGACGATAGCAAGGTTTGGAAAGACTTGTTTTTTCTTTATTTTTACACAACCTATGTCACTGTGCACCTTCCTATTAAACTTGCGACACTTAGAAAACGTTTTAGAACGTTTTTACCGAACATGCGCTACTGCGCATGCGTCCTGCGCAATTGGTGAGAGACAAACATTCTATCCCACATGTTTAAGCCATCACCTTTATCCACATATATAAATTCACCTTTACATATTTATAAATAACTAAGAAAATACAGCGGATCCTTTGAGCCCTCCGAGCGCTCTTGGAGCGCTATCTTGAATTTTTAATTTGATTGACAACTTAGAACAATAGCCTTTAAACAATAGCGGCGGCGGCATCCTTTGCGTTGCCAAGTGTCCACCCTTACTACTATGGGGCAAAATATGATGATATGGAGAGGTAGTGCATGCTTCTAAGCCTGTTCCAGTGCTTAGTATGGCAACTAACACATATATGACACCATGAACATCTGCCTACTCAGTGGAACCCAGAATTGGTAAGAGTTCAAGAACTCAAACAGGATGCACAGGCCATTTCAGCAAAAGGATTACCACTCCAAGATAGCATTGGTAGTAACCAAAATGGCAGATAGATCAGAAGTGATTACAAGTGAAGTATGTACGACACAATACCTGAACATTCTCCTTATGCACAGTTGCACACAATGTTCAGTTTCAGCACTGCATCTTGATTTCCTTTGTCTTTCAGCTTTAATCAGTTTTGAAATAGATATATTTCTAGCTTTTCTGCATGTTGAAAACGATTCCTCACGTTTTTCTCCCACAAGTGTGTAACCCTAGTCCTCACGGCTTTGAGAGTCAATGCAGGCAAATTCACAGCCCATTCCAACACCCTCCACAAGTTCCCCCCAAGCCCTGAAAAGATGGGAGGATGAACACATCTGTAATTAAATGAGGCCGCCTGATTTTGGTGATGAACCACCTTGCAAGGTACTTTAAGGTAGGTTACTGTTGACAGTCCATCAATCATCTCTGCCCACGCATTGTTTTTTACAAATTACTGGCACTGCAGCATAAGAGAAAAAATGGCTGCAAACCATCAACTGAACCATGATGCTTTGTTGCTGGAAGGTTCCACCAACAGCTAGGGTTATCCCTATCAACCTTACTATGCATCAGAACCTTTACTGATTTTTCGATTAAATGGCTTTTCAACATATTCTAATTTAAACACATACCTGACAGGGGAAAGAGTGAAGCGGTTTTGAGAAAAGGGACTCATTAAAACTCCTGAAGAAACAGAAAACAACATCACTCCAAGCAATTGCAGCTGATATTTCAGAAGGCTTGCACAAGGTTAAGACAAGCAACTCTAAAGATGATAAAGCTGCCTATTCAGCTTTCAAAAGTCTTACATTTGGCCACAATGTTTCTACATGCTAAGCATGAAAGGCTCCTGTAAAGCTAGTAAATGTGGGGCATAAGAGCGTGAGTTAACGAATTAAAAAGAAGGCAAAAATTTTTTCACAAGAGTTAAAGAGAGGAAAACTAGAGGTGAGTGACTATTAGTACTGAACAGAACAATTCATTTTCAACCAACTTCTGGTCATATGAAGGAAGCAGGCCAACAGGAGACAAAAAAAGATGTAATCAAAAAAAGAACCAAAAAGAAGCAGCACATTGAACATGCGAAGCACGTGCTGGAAAAAATACAAACAGAGGCATTTGTAAAGTTCCAGGCACAATATTAGGAAGCGAAGACCAAGTACTGCAAATTTGAGGAAAATTTCCAGTCTTTAAGGACTGTAAGAAATTTAGAAAGGCAGTGTCGCGGAGGTATGGAACCGATTTAGTGCTTCCTCAAACCCTAACTGAAGCAGTCAACCTTAAGCTTTGGTGACAAGCCTGAAGGGCACAGCTATCACCAGCTGAAATGCTTAAACAGAGAATGCAGTGAAGGTGGTGAAAGCAAAATTGAACTCCCTCTCATGAAATTTCGGACGAATACACAGAGGAAGTGACAAGGAAGTGCTATGAATTTGTGGGGACTGGAAAATTTCTGCCAAAAGACAGAAAAATAAAAAACCACTTGGGTGACAAGAAGACAGCC